TGATGAATACTCTGCTCTTCCTTATCAGCAGTGGGGCTCCTTCTGTCTGGAAGTCAACCTAAACCACTTTTTGTTTTCTCCAGCCTAAACTCAACCCCCATCAGCAGACTAGGGAAATCACCTAGAATTCAGATTCAAATAAGAGCATCCTTTGATCACATCATGGGTGACAGTGATTTGGAAGACATATGATAATCGGGAAACTGATCACAAAGAAAACTCTTAAGGGTGGGCTCTCTATCACATCAGATGGCCTTTATTTTATTAATCAATGAGCAGAAGTGGCATATGCTCCATCCAGCAAGCAAGGAGATGGATAGGGATGCCAGCTGGAAAGTAGCATGTGGAAAGGCAAGATCCAAACAAAAGCAATGATGGTGACTCTATGGGTTATCTGAGAGCATCAACTATGTCATCCCTCTGGGCTTCAAAGTCTCATATGCAGAAGAGAGAAACTTCCCAGAGGAATCAAGAGGCCCCCAATCACAGTGGGGAATGAGGGAACTAGGCTAGATCAACCACAGTGACAGTGGGCTACGTCAAAGGCCAAAAAGACCTTGGAGAGGCCAAGGGAGAATCTAGGCTCTATTTTATTCCCAGATCCCAGACCATAATTCAAGACTCTTCAAATGCTGGACACACTGGTACACAACTGTGATCCCAGCAACTGGGGAGGATGAGTGAAGCAGGAGGACTTCAAGTTTGAGGCCAGCCTTAGCAACTTAGTGAGACCCTGTCTCAAAATAAAAAATAAACAAAAAAGGGCTGTGGATATAGCTTAGTGGTAGAGTGCCCCTGGATTTCAACTCCCACTACCAAAAAATACTTAAATAGGAGAATCCTCCAAAGAATTACAACCTGCAGGGTGGACTTGGGGGTAGAAAAAGAGTTGGGCACACTTTTGAGAATTCATAACCGAAGCCCTTCACACAGCAAAGATATGATTGGCTTGAACACCTGACAGGCAGCAGAAAGTTTTGGTCAAGGGTGGGAAAGAGACTTCCCCTTGCCACTCCCCAGAGAAACTTAAATGATACTTGTATACCCGTGTAGATAGCAGCATTATATGTTTAACACCCAAAAGGTGGAAACAACCAAGGCATTCATCGATGGATGGATGGAGAGACAAAAATGTGGCTTATGCATACAATGGAATATTATTCAGCTTTAAAAGGGAAGGAAATTGACACATGCTACAACATGGATGAACTTTGAGGACACTATGCTAACTTCAGTAAGTCAGTCACACAATGACAAATACTGTATGACTACATTCATATAATGTATTTAGAGTAGTCAAATCTAGAGACAGTAAGTAGAGTGGTAGTTACTAGGAGCTGGAGAGAAGTGAAAATGGATAGAGTTCATATTTAATAGGACAGTTTCAGTTTTACAAGAAGAAAAGATTTATGTATATGGACAGTGGCAATAGTGCCATTATGATGTGAAAGCACTTGACACCACTGAACTACATCATTAAAAATAGTTAAGATGAGCCAGGTGTAGTGGTGCATACCTGCAATCCCAGCAACCTGGGGGATTTCAAATTTGAGGCCAGCCTTAGCAAATTAGAAAAACTCTCAGCAATATAGCAAAACCCTATCTCAAAATCTAAAATTTAAAAAAAAGGACTGGGGATTTAGCTCAGGGGTACAGTGCCCCTAGGTTCAATACCCAGTAAATATAAAAAGTACAAAAATGGTTTAAGTGGCAAATTTTATGTTTATGTATATATTTTGCCACAATTTTAAATACATATTAAAATGTTTATTGTTCAGTAAAAAAGATTAATGTAAGGATGTGTTAACAATAATAACTGTCTGCTATTATGAAAAACCATTCTAATGTTAGATCACAAAAGATAGAGATTATATGTGGTAGATTTCAGCTATGTAAAGATGAAATGTCTGTATCTGTGCATATGCAGGTAGGCAGGAAAAGAAGTGTAAGGAAACACAAATGTCAACAACAGTAGCCATATTCTGAAGGAGTGGGCTTTTTTCCATCTTTGCTATTTTTCACAGTTTTCAAGTTTCACACAATGAGCATACATTACTCTTATAAAGGAGTGAAGAAACAGGGTACGTACAAAACCAAACCACAAAAAAATCAAGGAAAAATGACTATTTATTCACTCCAGATTGGGAAGGGGTCTCCATATTCAATAGGAAAAATATCACACAGGAAAATATTGATTTATTCACTTACTTTAAAAAGTAAAATTGATAAATAAAATTGAAAGGAAAATTCATATAGCAGCAAATGCCAAGTGTCGAACAATCATACAGAGTGAACAATGATAAAGGTGTCACCAATAAAGAATTAAAAGATAAAACAGGATATCACTTTCACTTTCACCTATTATTCTAATAGTGCTTTTTTGCTGTATGTTTTTTATTTGCATGCTTGCTGACTCTATTTTTAACTTTAGTACCCTAAGGTAGCAAAAGAGTTAGGAAAGGAGAACATGGGTGTGTTTTTTGACAATTTGGCACTGAGAGACTCTCCTAAGGGAATAATTTGAAATACATAGAAATTCTTTATTCACTAAGTTGATCATCACAGCATTATTTATAATACTGAAAATCTGTATATAACCTAGGTTTCCAACAATTGAAAGAAGATTAAGTTACAATAAAACTACACAATAAAATATATTACCAGCAATACAAAGTATCTTTTCAAAAATCTGTAATAACCACACATACTAGTTAGTGGAAAAGTAAGAACATAAATTTCATGATTAAGAACATAGTGTACTCACAGCAATGTGAAAAATTCACACCCCCAAAAAGACAAGATATTAAGTGATTATTTAAGATAAAACATACTTTTTTTCACCTTTTACTACATTTCTGTTTTCTGAATTTTTTTATAATTAACACATCAATTTGTAATTAGAAAAAAACACCCTTTTTAAAGTAAGGTGAACAAAAGACCTTTCAGGGGTGTTCATTTCATCCCAAAACACACTAGAGAGACACAAAAGCTTCAGTCTCTTGGTGGGGGCACAGGAGCCAGGCTGTGAAAAATGGCTGTGAGTGGGTAGGTGAAGAGAGGAAGGGCCACAGCTAGGAGGGGGAGGCAGGGACTGGCAAGGGAAAGTCAGCCAAGGGCAGGGGCATCGTGGAGCCAGGGAAGACTCTGACTGCTCAGCGGAGGTCTGTCTAGACCCATAGTAGGCACTGACGGTGTTCTCAAAGGGCAGGGGCAAGAGGGATTTTAGGAAGACACATGGATTCCTTTAGGAAAAGGGGAGGAAAGAGGAGGGGAGGTAAACTACTTGGGAAAGAGGGGAGAAGGACTGAGGCAATGGTGATGGAAGTGGAGAGGAAGAGACCACTGTGAACTCACTACTTACTCTACGCCTAAACCAAACATACTTTGCTCACCTCCTGACAAGTCTTTGTGGGAAAGTTTAGGATAAAGAAATTTCTCGCAGGAGTAACTCACCAACAGCCAGCAATCCAGCTCAAATCTAGAGATAATCCAGGACAGCTCTGTTCAACTGAACCTTCAGCCATGATGGAAATGCTCTAGATCCGTGGTTAGCAAGCACTTGAAATATAGTATGGCTGGGAATCTTCTTTTTAACTTTTATTTCATTTAAATTAAATTATATTTAAATAGCCACATATGCCTAGTGGCTACCAAGTGGACAGCACAGTTCAGCTTAGGACTCATCAAGAGGAGAATTTGGAGATTTTTTATACTAAAACTGTGCTTCAGGAAATCAGTGAGAAAAATGAAGCATACATATTGTAACCAACCAGGAGCTACAAATGGATATGAAATGAGAACCTAAATTAAAACTTATAATTATAACTATAAAGTAGGAGATAGAGCTAAATACACTGCAAATATGTCAAGAGGATTTCTAGACTGTATCATAAAAGTTAGTGCACACAAAGAGAGCAATAAAAAAGACAAATAATGAGAAAGAAAAAGCTGAGGAAAACCATCTACAAAAGCTGAAGCTTCCAAAGGAGAGTGAAATTCTGGAATTGGGAGAGATAAATAGGATCCTTTACTCCTTAAATAAAAATTGTTGCCTAAGTCACTCAACTGCGTAGAAGATCACTATGTTATATACATTTCTATCATAAGCTAATTAGTTAAAAATGCCTTTGAAATTTCAATAATTTTAATATAATATCTTGTCATTTTGGTCACAATTCAATGCACCACAGTAACTTAATCTAATTTGCTATATTTTATTTCACATTTACCTTGAAACATTGAGTGAGCCATTTGTAAAGAGAAAATTACTAAAATTACTCATTTTGATACAAGACAGACTATTTTAGATATTTACTGAGAAAGATGTTGTTTTGATGACTTCTGATATTTGATCAGTCTCATCATGTTATAAATACAACTTGTAAGTATTCTATTCAAGATAATATGGACTAAACTTATTACTATTACTTGCCTTTCTGGTTATTTTCTTATTTAGGAAATATGGAACTATATTCTGGGGGGAGTTGAAAATTACTTACTATATACTAATGAAAAGTTTTTACAATCCTCAAAATAACTCAGAATTTAACAAAATTTAACAAATTTAAGAAAACTGCTGTTTCCTTTAATAAGTAATTAAACATAGAATGTTTCCTGCCACCTACATAAGTGGACATCTGTAATCAATTATACCTAAATAAGAACATTTAAATGAGTCCGAGTCAAACCATGGATATAGTTATAACTTTAAATATTTTCACTGTAAATAACAGACTTCTAATAGATGGTCACTAAGTTTAAAGGTCATATTATTTGCTAACAAATTATTATTGGATCAAGAAAACATCTCAAAAGTTTTAACTTAATTTCCCATGAATTTCATGTCTCTAATCTACTAAGCATTTTTTTATTTGATTTAAAAATAACACATTAATAACGATGCATATTTTATCTTTGGAATTTGAAACCTTGTGGTCTTAGAAAATTGAAAATAGACTTTAAGGTACTGGCTTCTAGAATTAGTATTTAACTTTATAATTGAGAAAGAAATGTGAATTGTATATTAAAATTGATATATTTTTAATATACTGGTAAACCTAAGATATGTTATTAAAGTATAAAAATCAGGAATTTAGAGTAGAACTTAATTTGATATACAGTAACTTTTTGAAATGTACCAAATTCCACAAATAATTATTTCTTGATTATATATATGTTACTATTTGGTTAGTATGGCCTTGGTATAAAAAAGTATGACATAATTTTGGTTTGTTCATTTTGTACTTATTAAATGACTACACTATGGACTTTTTAAACAAGAGAAAAAGGCTCAGCCCAGCCCCAACCTAATTAACAATTACAAATTAATAAAGACTAAATGAAAAGGATTGGCTGTCACATCCTCTTGGGCCAAATGGTTGATGCATGTTTTGATTACCTCATACTCTGGTTCCTTCCAATATTATGGGTAATGACAAAATAACAACCTCTAATGCCTCCTCTCACCAGCTCAAGAGGAGCATGTTGCATTTGCCCTCCATTGTGGCAAAACTCAAGGCATCAATGATTGAGCAAGTTCTCCATGTTGGGAGTCATTATATATATTGTGATCCTGTAATGGATCAGAATCCACAAAATACAGTTCCCCTGCATGGATATCAGAAAAATTAGCCATAAATTCATCAGGATTGAAGCCAACCCATATAGTATACCTATAGTCTATGGTACGTATGGAGTAGCCCATGATCTTTATATCTTTTAAACTTGGCTTGTCAGAATTCCACTGAGGGGAGTCTGCAGGCCGGGGGTACTGGCTATAAGCAATCAACTCACGGGGGTTACTGCGGAGATATGGATCATTTTCTACATCATGGAATTGAAAATGCTTCAGAAGGTTCTGGCCTTCTCTACATAGCTCAACATGAAATGAAGGAACAGGGCAATGAGGCGGAACCTGTAGTCCTACAAGTGCAGCCAGCGTGGGGAAGAGAGACACAAGTTCCACAAGGTCCATGGTTTGCCTGCCTGAAACAGAAAATGACACAGCTGAATTTGTTACATTATAGAAGCCTGCCACACCAAACTAGATGAGTTAAGGAACCTGTCTAGACTCCACATGTTTTCTATTTGCTTGTATGTTTGTTTTCAACATTTATTTTTAGCAAAAGAAGTGTAGAAACACCACTAACTCAGCACCTCACCCTCCACTACATACTCATCCAATAAAATATCAAGATGCAAAATTGGTCCTCAGCCTATTGGCACTTTAGAAAACTACCTGACTTTGAAACCACTAGTGTAGTAACTGGATTCTGGCCAGCTTCATCAATTTAAGCTCTAACTATTGGGTAAAAGTTTATGATGGAATAGAATATTTCAAGTTTCACAATGGCACCCCACAGATTGCCCTTTTCTGGATGACTTTTTGATCCATCTTTCCTTTTTTCCCCATCTTTTCTTTTAATATGGTAAAGTACACAAAACATGAAGTTTATTATCATATCTACTTTTTAGTGGACAGTTCAGTGACAATAAGTATATTCATATTGATTCATCATGATCACCACCAATCATCTCCAAAATTTCTTTCATTTTACACATCAGAAACTCTGTCTCCACTGAACAGCAGCTCCCCATTTCTCCACCCCCAGAAACTGGCAACCCTCATTCTACTTTCTATCTCTGTGAATTTCTCTACTCTAAATATTGCATATTAGTGGGATCATATAGTATTTGCTCCCTTGTGTCTGGATTATTTCACTTTAAGAATAATGTCCTCAAGGTTCATCCATGCTCTAGCATATGTTGGAATTTCCTTCATTCTCAAAGCTAAATAATATTTCACTGAAGGTATAATACCACATCGTGTATGTCCACCCATTTGTCAATGGACACAGGTTTCTCCCACTTTTGGGCTATTTTGAATAGTACTGCTATGAATACTCATGTCCAGATTTTTATTTGAATACCTGTGTTCAATTGTGCAGTATATATATTTAGGTGTGGAACTGCTCAGTCATATGGTAATTTTGAGGACCTGCCAATCTGTTATCCACAGCAGCTATACCATTTTACATTCCTGCTGCTAATACACAAGTGTTCCAATTTCTCAACATCCTCACCAATGCCTGGTGTTTTATATTTTTTATTATTATCCTCAATGGCAATCCAAAAACATGAGAAGGTATTACATCCACCTTTAAAATTTAAATCCTACACTTATCTTTACATCTTACATTGATTCCTGTTAAAACTGATCTTGGTTTTGTACTATCATTCTGGCATTTTGGATGGTTAAGAGATTGTTTAATAATACCTAATTTCAGGGGAGGGGAGGGGGGATAGTAGAGGATAGGAAAGGCAACAGAATACATCAGACACTAGTATGGCAATATGTAAAACAGTGGATGTGTAACTGATGTGATTCTGCAATCTGTTTACGGGGTAAAAATGGGAGTTCATAACCCACTTGAATCAAATGTATTGAATATGATATGTCAAGAACTATGTAATGTTTTGAACAACCAATAATAAAAATTTTAAAAAAAGTTTAAACATACTTTTTCTGTCTTAAAAAAAAGAAGTTTTTTTAAAAAGATACTTCACAATGGCAAAATTTGGCTGCTGCTACCATCACTTTAACCAAGTGGCCAAAGTGAGCATCGCTAACAATGGTACAAGTTGCCAAAAGATTCCCCCCACTGTGACAACAGAATTCACATGTATATAGTACCCTGATCAAAAATGTTCACTATGAGAAAACAAAGAGACAAATCTAGTGTGTGGGATACTCTACAGGACAAACTACCCTGGATGCATGTCAAAAAGGGAGGAATCAGATCACTAAAGTCCTTGTCAGCCATTGTGAGGACATGTACTTGTGAGATGAGAGCACAGGAGGCTCCTGAGTAGGTCTGTAGCAAGACTTGCCGAGGAATTTTTTTTGGTGGTAGGAATGGAACCAGGATCCAGGGCCTCACTGCATGCAAGGCAAGAGTCCTACCACTGAGCTACAGCCCCATCCCCTGTCTTGAGTTTGAAAGGGATCACTTAGGGTGTTCTGAGAAGGAAACACTCTAGTGGATCAATAGCACAAGGAAAGAGACCCTTCAGCAAGCAGCTGCTGGTGGCAGAGGAGATGATGAGAAGCAGAAAGGAACAGATTCTGAATGAAGAGTGGTGGGCTTGCTGATGGACTGCAGATCACATATGGAATATGAGAGAAAGAAAGATTAAGAAGATTCTGTAATTTTTGTAGTCATGTCCTGAAAAGAGTGTCAAAGGCAAGGCTTAAGGTAAAAGAGCTAGATGTTCAACTCCAGGGATGAAAGACTAGCCAAGTAGAACCGGCTACTGGACATGAAATTTACAGTTCAGAGAAAAGATACAGGTTAGCGATAAAATTTGGAGATAAGATGGATGATGGCACAGGTACATGAAATTACAACTTGGTGATTATCTCCCAACAAAGGTTTCAAGAAAGAGTCTTACCTGTAAGAATATTTCTCCCAGCAAACAAAGGGCTAAAATTGTAACTGAAATTGTTTAACCTTTCAATGATGGGAAAGAAGATAGAGTATGCATTGACCAAAAATTAAGTGTGCAGGAAATAAAATCAGGCAGTATAATTAGCAAACTCCACGGTCCAGAAAGGCCAGAATAATGAATCCCAAGATAAATTGAAATAGGAATCAATATAAAGTACAAGGCTTAGATGCTAAAGATGGATTAAATATGTAAGTCCCAAAATGGGGAGCCTGGCTTAGCACAGTTTATGAAAAAAAAAAACACTCTAAAAAGAGCATATAAGACTAGCATGGCATCTGAAGTGCATGATTTACCTCTGAAATGCACCAGGTAGATTAAGTCATGATAAAACTCACAGGAACCCACACAAATCACCCCATATGGGCAGAAAGGATATCTGGTTTCAAAGCTTTGAAGAACTGGCACTTAAAAGCCCAAGTCAGCTTGCCCTTTACTATTGCATGACACAAAGCAGAATCACCCAGTAAATTTTACAGATCCAATGGTTAACTAGTTCAATGAGCTGCCAAAAGGGAAAATACTCCCCTTAAAAAGGGCTGAGTCCATGACAAAAGTATACAGGTTAAGGACACCACTGATCTGTTTGGGGGACAGCCCCTTCTATGCTCTGTAGCATTCTGTTGCCATCTTACAACAGCCCTCCCTACCTTGGGAGGGCTACTGCTGCTTTGCCCTACCTCCTTCTAAGGCCCCTCATGGACAGAAGCCATACTTTTCAGTTCTGGCTCTGCCAATCCTCCCTTACCCACAGCATGAGAGATGTTCAGGAACCACATGCAGACTAAAAAATATTGAGAAGAAATTCTAACATACACCAGAAGTGGGGACTATGTGAGCCTGCAGCCTATGATTCAATGAGGTGGTTCACATGTAAACTAAAGGCACTCTTAGCTAGGCAATATCACCCCTGTATATACTATACCTGGCTCCATCAGTTCTGTGGTGGAATTAAAAGGATCAAGGTAAGGGAAAAACTTCTCTCCTGCCTTTGGTAGCAAAGCTGTCTTTCCAGGAACGTAGAACATCAGGGGCACACGAGTAGTGACGTCAAAATTGCTGTATTTGGCCCATTCTCCATGTTCACCAAGGGCCCACCCTGGATCATAAAAAGCACAGAATGACAGGAAATTAAAAATCAGATCAAAACTTATATACTTTAGCCACCATTTCAATTCCTGTTGTAAAGGCCAAAAGAACTAAAACCTCATCACCTCAAGGAAATTCCTCTAGAATTACCACAAAAAAGATGATTTCACCTGATGCTGCTTTATTCAAAGTCAAACATACATCCTCAATGATGAAACATTTAAAAAGGAAAAATATATATTAAATTCCCAAGGTAAAATATCTTCTTTTAATCAGGAACTAACAAATACACCCATATTGGGCTTTGCAGAACCAGTGGGCCCCAAGCAGACAAGTCCCAACTGCCAAGACAGGCTTTCTTTTTAATGCTGAGGATCGAACACAGGGCCTCGTGTGCTCTATTGATCAGCTACATCACCAGCAGTTCATTCTTCACTATATGGAGACCCTGAAAGACAGAGTGTCATCATTTCCCTGTCCTATGTTCATCTATCTCTTGACTCATAACCCCAGAAACTCAGGTTTACACATCTGGGGTTGTACCACCAAAATGTGAGGCTATGGTACTGTGGCATTAGACAAGGATACCTTGCACATTTCATAAGACATACCATATGTGAAGAAAAGCAAACCTTTAGTTTTGAATCCTTAACCCTGATTAAAAACCATCCTTAAAACTTATTTAAAATACCCTTGTAGAAAATAGTTTACATATTCCAAGTTGGAAATTCCCTATCTTTTTAATACAAAACTTTTTTTGTACTATCTTTTTTGATACAAAAACTGTTCATGATATAGACTGTTCATGAAGTATTTACAAAACAATCAAAGACACTGAAAGTGGCTATGAGTGGATTCAATAAGGCATTGGAATGATTCTGTATTTTATCCATCATAGCTATATCTGCTAAACTTTCCCAGAGGATGGTACAGAGTCCAGCACAAAAACTCACTGACTCAATCTACAGATGATATTGGGGCTACAAATTACAGAATAGGGCTGGAACATGTTCTGAGTCAACAGTGCTCTCCTAGAAAACCCAGAGTTGAAAAGAACCTTTCATATATCAGTAATCAAAGCAGACTTCATGTCTGTTATAAATGCTCAAGGTTTCTAAGCATGCAAGATAGTTGGAGGATTGGCGTGTTCTCCCTCCTTCTCTCTGGCCAACAGTGCTGAGGTTAGGTAGGGATTTTTCAAGTACTCTAAAGGAGGTCAATGAGAATCAGTTTCCAGGGTCCATGAGCTCAGTGAGCTGGGTGAGGGCCAGCACTATACCTCCACATGTCCACTATCTCTAGGAAGACAAGGTAGCCTTGACCCATGAGGCCTGGTGACTTGGTCAGTTATCAGCAGGCTCCTAGGGCACCAACTTGCAGGTTATATTGGCATAAACTTAAGAATATGAGGTCCAAGAAGCCTTTGGGACAGGAAAGTGAAGGGTCCCAGCAATGGGACCTCAGGAGTCACCTCCTTGAAATCTAACTGGGGTACACACAGCAGTCCTAAAGGTACACCAGCCAAGTTCTCTGCGGCATCCCCAAATATGGGCACTCAGAGCCCACAGGCCTGTTGGCCATGATAGGCTGTCTAGCACCATGCATGGACAGCCCCCTAGCCCACCAAGCACAGGGTCTGGTACTTGACAAATACTCAATGGATAGCTATGGACTGCCTAACTGCAAGAACACATTGCTCAGTCTTGTGCTGGGTTTCCGTCTGGTCTGCTATAGCCAGGGGCAAATATTTGAGAAAGGAGAACATAAGCCTGTGAGAGTCCCAAGGGTTCATCTTGACACCAAGAAGAAGAAACCAAGGACTTTGAAAAGCAACTGAGAAGGCTTCTGGCTCTTTCCCCAGAAGCCTTGCATGAGGGGAAGGCAGTAAAAGCCAGCCCAAGAATTATGAGCTAGATGGGAGCCGGTTCATTCTCATGCTCAGACCTGCCAGTTCCTGATTAGATGTGCAGAAACCATCATGTTTTACCAATTCTCTGGTGGTTCTGATGCAGTATATCCCAGGAAGGCACACTGAGGTGGGTTACTATAATCAACTGCAACTGCCTCAGAGCAAAGAGTATGTCTAAGTAAGCTAGGCACTGAGAAGTGGGGTAAGAAGTGGATGACAGAGCATTAGGAATATGTGAACAATTATGGCATTTCTGTATATAATACAACACAACAGACCTTTACAAAGGAAAAGTCAGGCCTGAGAGATGACAGGGAGAATTTTCTGTGACAAAGTTAAGTAGGAAAAATGTTTTTAAAAGTTCATATAACAGTAAACATAGTATAATCAACTATGTCTTATGATATGTTATATGTTACATACATACATATATCCCCATATATGTATGTGTACAAGGTATACATCGGAACTCCAATCTATTGGCACCTGTTTAGTCCTGGGAAGGTAGCATAACAGGATAGGGCATTCTGGCCCTGTATTATATTCTTCATATCCTTTTTTCTTTATGAGAACATACTATGATTTACTACTGTATCATTGCATATTTGATGATATGGAAGAACCATCTTTCTTTTTCTATGTATGATAATGGTATTATGGTTACACTTAAAGAGGCAATGCTTTTTTTTTTTTTTTTTTTAGAAACAGTGATTAGAAAACAGAACCATCTAGGATTTGTTTCAAAAAATTCAGTGTTAGAAGGAGTGGGTAAGGAGGAGATAAACAAGACTATCACTAGTAGAAAATGTGGAAGCTGTTGTTTTATTTTCCACTCTTGGGCATGCTGAAAAATTTTCATATTAAAGAGCACATTTTTCAAATTAAAGAGCATTTCTATATTTGGAAAAAGTAGGAAACAACCTTAGGAGATATAAACAGTTGAGAAGCCTGGTCTCTTGACGGAAAGGGTAGTAGGGATGGGGTAAGACATATCAAAACCAGCCATATCTGAGGGCTTTGTTGGGTTCTGCCAAGACTGTTCTGGATTCTCTTCCACCCCCACCCCCCCAAAAAAAAAACCCTAAAAGTCCTCCAACCCTCAAGGTTAGCAATGGTGATTAGAAGAGCTTTCCCACAAATGGAAGGTTCTTGCTGAGTGCATAAAGCAAAAGTTACTACAGGCCCCCCCACCTACCTGCACCTCCAAGTATCAAAGATGGAGGTCCCAGGACTAATAATCTGATCCTAAAACACCCAAGAACCTGGACTCAGGGTACTGCAGATTCACACACACAAAAAAAAGAACATGACCATGTATATGGAATTTTAAAAAGTATGTTTCACAGGAAAGCTGAGATGCTTTGAGTGACTCATCAGGGCATTTCAAAATGCTTACCATGATCAGAGGTAAACACAATGATCGTATTGTTGGCCAGCTGAAGATCATCCAAAGTACTCAAAAGGTGGCCAACCTGTGTATCCAAATAGGAAACAGAGGCAAAATAGCTCTGGCGAATTTTCCGCTGCAAATAAAATAAACAATAATAAATCAATAATGAAAGTGAGTGTAATTTTAATTGCTGTGGCATACACAGAGATAATATCCACCTGAGCATCTCTCTCAATCCCAATTCCTCTGTTGATGCTCTCATTTAAAAAAAATAGCACTCCCTTTCCTACTTTCTGCATCCCCTCACACACTGAGTCAACACGATCTGCAGGTCCAAAGATTCATTTCTAAGTGAACTAGCTTTCATTTTAGCACACAGATCATGGAAGATGGATGCCATTTACTACTCCTTTCTGTGTCCCTCACATATTCTGGTGGGTCCCAGGAGATCCATAAACTGGATGGCTTAAGAAAGCATAAATGGATTGGCTCCAAGCTCTGGAGGCTAGAAAGCTGATATCAAGGGGTAGAGAGGGCCATGTCTGCCTGAAAGTTCTAGGGGAGGATTAGGCCTCTTTCTAGTTCTGGTTCTAACTTCAGTGTATCTGCTAGGAATCATAATTTAACCCACAACAACAGTCCTGAGTCAGTGTTCTGACCACTTTCACACCCAGCAAGAGATGGCAATTGCTTATCTCTGTGCCATGACTTTCATGTGTAGCTCATTTCTACAAAATTCTCATCAGGCAAGAGAAGAGCAACTGAAGAACAAGAAAGGAGCAGCCACAGTCCCTGAACCCAGGAGAAACTTTAGGGACAGCTATATCATACCCTGAAGTAAAGGAGCCATCAGCCTCTCCTAGGCCAGCTCGCCTTCAGCCTTGTTAATAAGTGTTAATGAAAAGGATGAATCCCCCTTTGCCCCTCACCAAGGGGTAAGAAGCATGAGAGCTGCTGACTTATCAGATCAGCCACAGCCTCTTTTGCACATATGGTCCCTATCTTATCATCTGGACCTGTCAGCTTCTTTTCATTGCTAAGGTTAGGACAGTCATAAACCTTTCCCAAATCTCTACTTGTGAGGAAGAGAACAGATACACATCTAGCCTTCTAGAAGAATTAATCTGAATCCTGGCCTATTTATACATTTTAGTAGACAGTCTTCAGTCTGTAATTTGGAGAACTATAGTCCTCCTGGAGACCAGAGACACCAGTCAGGATGTCTCTGCCCTATATAAGGGTACTCCCTCCTTCTTCTCCTGGTCCCTTGAGATTAGGCAATAAATAAACTGGCATGGTTCTCAACTCTATTGAGCCATATGATCAGTGAAAAATAATTACACATACATTATTGGTGGGGCCCAGGGCTGACCAAGGACAATGAGTGTTCAAGTGTGCTTGGAAAATTAGGGAAGGCTTCAGAGAGGATTTCACATTGCAGAAGAGTAGCTGCTATCAGACAAATGGGGGTAGGATGTTCTAAGCAGGGGCTGCGGGATGTGGAATGGTGTGGAATCATGACAAAGCAGAGAATCCCTAGGGCTGAAGAATAACCTGGGAGGGCAGAGGGAGGCAAGTTACACTGAAAAAGTAGGCCAGGACCAGATGAAATGGACCTAGCAGGTCCCTCCAAGTAGCCGAAGTCCCAGGCTGCAGGCCAAGGGAAGGAATCACTGGGGTCTTTCAAGGTGAGGAGATGACACAATTTGAGCTACAGGTTAATAAGAGTACAAATAAAACTACTGTCCAGAGTACAAATTCTAGTGGCTTTAGACAAACATCACTAGATAACTGCTGGACACCTAAGAAGTACTCAACAATTTGTTGAGTGAACAAAACATTGCAAGACCCAGACCAGAAAGATGTACTGAAAGATCCAGAGAACCGGTAGATTTTAGAGGAAATTGGGGAGATCAAGCAGATGTGGAGGAGGGGAAGAAGCAGGGAAGAGGAAGGAGATGATAAATCCAAGGGTGACTCTAGAGTTCACATTCAGCTAGTGGCATGATTCACAGGCATGTGATGAGCAGGGAAATATAAGAGGAAGAAGAGACAGACCACGGTGGTGGCCTGACCACATGGAAATCTATGCAGCTGAGGTCTCCACAGTAACCTGCCTGAGAATGGCTCTCAAAGGTGGGTGGACATGCAAGTCTGAAAATCAGAAGCAAGACCTGGGCTGAAGGGGTATTTCTGGGAGTCATCTGTCAGCAGGTCTGAGATGAGCTAGGCAGATAAGAAGGGGAAGAACAGAGGGGAACTTAGACGGACCCTGGATGACAGCATGTAAGTGGGGGGAAACAGAAACAGTGGCCTGCCATGGAGACTGGAGCAGAGGGGTCCCAGGAGGGCTGGCAAGGATGCCCAGGAGGTGAAAACTTCCAGAAGACATGAGGCTGGTCAATGATGAGAAAATAGCACAGAGCTCAAGTAAGGTCAAGAACAACAAGGATGGATCTTATTTACTAACAAGGTCAGCGACCACTCAGGTGAGATAACTTAGTGGGTTGGGAAGGCAGAAGCCCAAGCAGATAAAAAGAACAAATGCACAAGGAAGCCATGGACACAGGTAGAATAGACCACTCCTTACTCTTGCTCAAAGGGCAGGTGAGTGGGGAGAGGGGGCAAAAAGGGAGAGAGAAAGCAGGAAAAGAGGAGAAATAGGCAGCTGCAAAGGAGAAGGTACTTTTTAAAGATGTCAGTGACATGAGCAGACTTAGAGGCTGCAGGGAAAGATAATGGGAAGGGAAAACTCACTGAACACGGGAAAGAAGCCAAGTAGAGAGCTCACATGGGCAGCTGAGTGCGTTGCTGCCTCATGGCTGCATAGATTCTCTCCAGCAGCCCTCATTATGGACTGTCTCATGATCAGAATACTACATGTGAGACAAGGATGAATGAAAAAGAGTGCTAAGGGGCTGGCAAGAACAGTAAGTGGCAAGCCACAGGGCCTTAGCAATTCAGGGAAGAAAAAAAGCCAAGAGGCCACCTAGACAGAGTGGACAAGGAAGAGTCCACACTCCGGCAATCCCTGGAGGTGTGCAGTGAGCTGCAAGCTGAAGGGGTCATGGTATGGTGACCAAGAAGGAGCAGGCCTGGGAGATGGCAAACACCTGAGGACACTGGCTCACATAGGGCTGAGTAAGAGGGCTGGAGCTGACGAGAGCATATAATTGAGAGGCTCAAGAGAGAAGTGAGACAGGGCTTAGACATGAACATCCAAAGCTTCAGGTCCTGAGAATATCAGGGTTCACTCTGGGTCACGCTCTCTGCTACCTGTCCAACAGACACAGGTATAAAGAAGGGAGTTGGAAAACTTCAAAGAGAACTCATCATGTAATTGGTACTGTCCTAGATGCTTCCACATGTACCCTTTAGTTCTCTCTGAAAACCTCCTCAGTTGGTATTATTGCAGAAAACATTCACCCATCATGTTTCCATTTTAAGGATAAAGAAACTGAGGCTCAGAGAAATAAAGTAACTCTGCAGAGTTCATGCAACTGGTATGAGGTAGAAAGGGAATTTGAACTCACACTGTTTGGAACTAACAAAACCAACCATGTGGTTTTAGTTACACTTCTCTGGGGTGACCTAGTTCCACCTGATGCTAACTTGATGCAGTGAGGCCAGTGTCATTTCTCTGCCTTTAGTCTCCTCACCTGACAACAGAAGGGACAGACACCACTGGATTCCCAAATGGGCCAAAGCAGATGGCCAAAACAAATGCTCAATACCCATCCCAGCACCGAGTATTCATCCCAACACCCAGTCCATTGCAAAGTCCATTTTAAGTGACTGTCACTAATAAGGCTTCCAGACATAAGACTCAGAGCTGCAATTTAAGCCACCTCATTATCAGAACCCAGCAATGCAAAATTAGAAAATAAACAAACTGTCAAATTTGTTGCTTTACAAACTTTCACCACTTGCTAATAAGGAAACTCAGGAATCAAACAGATTTGAGGAGCATATACCCCTCACCCCTCAAACTCTGGCTGTGCAAACTCAGGAGTCACATGGATGACTCTGAGTGCATCAGAATCACTGATGTGCCTTTTGAGGAAATGTGTATTTTGGGGTTCCATCTCCAGCTTCCAACTCTGGGTCAAAAATCTTATATCCAACAAGCCTACTAGGAAATTCTGATGCAGGTGTGTCAGGAAACACACTTTGAAAACATTGCCATGTTCCTTCCATTCACTATAGCCTACCCATCTCAGCATTCATGTAATAAAGGAAGGGCTCTACATGGAAGATTCTGGAAAGATTTGTTGGTCAGCATGTCTTTTGCACTCAGGTGGGAGAGATGGTGGATAATCAGTCAGCATGATAATTCTAATTTTCTGGCTGCTCTTCCCCCCAATCATGGCAAAGGGATATCAGACATCATAGCTGGACAGCACTGGCCATGATGGCACCCAGTCACCTCTGTGCCAAGACCTAGTTAACCCAGTCAAATTGAGAGTGACAGGTGCCAATACAGGCTTTCCCACAGAGGGAACCTCCAGTACCAGCAAAGTGAGTATTCTGAGCTGCTCAAGAGTTGCCCATATCCTACAATTGAAGAATCGTAACTCACATTAAACAGCATCTTCCATGAGTTAGGGATATTTAACCAGACTCCTTCCTCTCCCCCATCCCTCCTGTAGCAAGTCACCAAATCTCTGGATTCTCCCTTCTCTGAAAGTTTAAACACTGGCCAGGAGACTTTTGATTCACCCAGTACTGTCCATGTCCTACAGAACACGCCCCACCCAGCACTTGGCACAACACCATGCATAAAAGTTCTTAATAAAACACTATAAATGGAGTAGTGGATGTTGTAATGAAGAAATTGGATTGACCAATGACATAAGTGCCTGATACATTCTGGAAATATGTCTTTGGTACCTGAAAGTCCACAGGAATTGGGCCATAGGGTACACTGATGTTTAAGGCTTGGACGTCTTCCCGCTGCCTGATGTCCATCCAGGGGTTGTAGGCTACAGGAGGTAGGCCATCGGGGACCTGGGGATCAGGAGCCAGGGTGATGTTCTCCAAGGGGTACAACTTCTGAAATTCCTTTGGGAAAAACAAACACAGAGCCACAAGGTTGTCATTCTGTTGGCAATGGCACAAGGCTGTGGCTCTTCAGGTGTTTATGTGGCCTTTTCTCTAAGCCTGAGATGTATTTACATCATGGCTTACTAATGACCCCCAGGTACTCATTCCCCTCCTGAAGTCAGGCCTTAGGTCACCCTCGTGAGATGCAAAAAGCAATGAAATCATGCAACTTTTATTTCCTAGGAAACAAGCAGTGGTATATCTCTTCCCTCATGTGGGCAGATGCCCTTCTGTTTCGGTCCTATCTCACTTCCAACCCATGAAAGTGTGCTGAGGTGTTCTGGGTTCTCCAAACCACTCTCAGGCCCAATAATTCATTACAACTCACAGGACTCAACATATAGTCACACCCACCACTATGGTGTATTACCAGATACAATCAGCAAAGGGAAAAAGCTCATGAGGCAAAAATCTGGAGGAAAACAATAACAAGTTTCTAGAGTCCTCTCCCCAAAATGTCACACAGAATGCACCTTCTTGTCCCAATAATGAGGTGTGTGACAACATGTATAAAATGCTACCAGAAAGGGAAGTCTATTAAAGCCTCAGCACCCAGTGTGGTTTGGGCCTGATCACATAGGCACTCTCAACCTGGAACACACCAAAAGTCTAGGCTCCCAAAAGGAAACCAGGGGTTCAGCATATACCTTAATGTTTGCCTAAACAGTTTAGGCATAGTAAGCCACACTTATGAGTTCTGGGAATGGTGGCAACACTCCCAAAATCAAAGTTCCTAAATGCCTACCAAGGGCCAGCCTTATAAGCAGGTCTTTCAAAGGTTCATGGCTAGGATAGCTTTGAGAACTCCTTTCTGCAAAGAAGCAGAAGAGGCAAGTCTCTTAATTCTATCAAGAGGGTTGGTAGTTTCTGACAGGAAGGCATGATACCCTAGGCCAGTCAAAACAAGATACCTGCAACATCAAAGAATATACCTTCTGGTCTCTACTCTCATTACAAGTGAGGGGCCGTCTTTGTGAAGTCAAAAAAGCTGAGCTGCTCAGGCCCAAGGAAAACACAATAAATAAAACTGAAAAATATTATTAAAAGGAAATTACTACATGCTCTAAGTGATTGGATTTGAGGCAACAGGATTTGAGGTTCCAACAAGCAATGCAGTGTGTATAGGATCTAATCTGACAGGCTCATGGGGGTAGAAGAAAAGGGAGTTGGTGAAGAGAGCTCCAAATTCCCTGGAACTGTGTCCTGAGGACTATCCCTTATTATAGGTTTTTAGTGGCTTTGGCTCAGTTATCTATGATCATAATCCCACCCAACATTTGCACATTGAGTTCAATGAAAGGAAATAAAATCCTCCAGTGGAGAGAAGTAGAAAGCCAAATATTTATTGTAAGATCCTTACATGTTCTAAGACTACTTGTCCTTGAGATCTGACTCCTGTCTTCACTCCACTATGCATACTAGGTAGCCCCTATCAGGCATCCCTGGTAACTGGGGATGGCAGGGTGAAGCCAGCTTCACTACACAAATCCCTTCCTCAACAAATAACAAAGTTGTAGTAGCTGCTAGATCAGCCCTCAGCCAGCTCTTCACCTTGGGGTATCTGAAGGGGATGTGCGGCTTATGGTACCCAACAGCCAGGAAGAAAGGACTGCCAGTTGTTTTCATCTTTTCCAACAATCGTATGGCTTGCTCAGTGCTCTGTTTGTCAGGCAAGGTGCCCTCGGGCACATCCACTATATCCACAGGACAAAGCAGGTTGGCATGAAGTTCTCCATCTTGTCCCCTACATGTCTTTCAAAACAAAATTATGTAACATCAGATTTTTAAATACAAGAAACAGAAATCATGAAGGTTACATACAGAGATTTAATATTCATATCACCAGTCCCTTAGCTGTTAGTCAAACAGAGTGAAGAGGCATATCAGAAGTAGAACTAAACCAGAGAGGTAACTCTTTTCTGGGCAGGAGCCAGAAATCCACAGCACTTAAGCTTCTTACTGCTATTTATCTGTCTCCAAGCCATAACTCATTATAAAATAACCCAAGTAAACTAATTATAGGAAAAAAATCTATATCCAACTCAACAATGAAAAGTAAACAAGCCAATTAAAAATGGGCAAAGGACTCTAATAGACATATTTCCAAAACAATATACAAATGGCTAACAGCACATGGAAATATGATTAACATAATTAGTCATTAGGGTAATGCAAATGAAAACCACAATGAGATACCACTTCACCCACAAGGATGGCAATGTTTTAAAAACAGAAAATAGCAAGTTTTGGCAAAGATTTAGAGAAACTGAAACCCTCATACATTGCTGACAGAAGTATACAATGGTACAGCCTCTTTGAAAGATAGTTTGTCAATAATTCCTCAAACAGTGAAACATATTTGTTATATAATCTAGCAATTGTATCCCTAAGTATATACCCAGGAAAATGTTTCTAAATGTCTGCAAAAATATGTGAATATTGATAGCAACATTATTCCTAACACCCAAAAAGTGGAAAGAACTCAAATATCCACTAAGTGATAAATGGACAAACAAAATGTGATATTATAGAATGCTATGTACTCATATAAAGAATGGTACATACTACTATATGGTAGAAACTCAAAAACGTTATGCTAAAATAAAAGAAGCTAGATATATGTGGTTACATTTTATATGATTCTATTTATATGAAATGTCCAGAATAGGTAAATCTACAGAATAAGAAAGTAAATTAGTTGATGTCACAGGCCAGAGATTGGGATGAAATATGGAGTATCTGGTAATGGGAACAGAGTTTGTTTCAGGGGTAATGAAAATGATCTAAAATTGATTTGATTAACAACTGCACAACTCTGTAGATACACTAAAAAAATAAGAGTTAAAAGAGACAGTTTTTATATCATCTTCTGAGAATTGTCTGTCCAGGTCCTTGGACCACTTATTGATTGGGTTATTATTTATTTTTTGGTGCTTAGCTTTTTGAGTTCGAAAGATCCTAGAGATTAGTGCTCTATCTGATGTGTGAGGGGTAAAAATTTGCTCCCAAGATGTAGCCTCTCTATTCACCTCACAGGTTGTTTCTTTTGCTGAGAAGAAACCTTTTAGTTTGAATCCATCCCATTTATTGATTCTTGCTTTTAATTTTTGTACTATAGGAGTCTTATTAAGGAAGTTGGGGCCTAATACCACATGATGAAGATTAAGGCCTTCTTTTTCTCCTATTAGATGCAGACTCTCTGGTTTAATTCCTAGGTCCTTGATCCACATTGAGTTGAGTTTTGTGCATGGTGAGAGATAGGGGTTTAATTTCATTTTGTTGCATATGGATTTCCAGTTTTCACAGCACCATTTGTTGAAGAGGCTATTTTTTCTCCAACATACGTTCTTGGTGCCTTTGTCTAATATAAGATAATTGTAATTTTGTGAGTAAGTCTCTGTGTCCTCTATTCTGTACCATTGGTCTACCAGTCTGTTTTAGTGCCAATACTATGCTGTTTTTGTTATTATTGCTCTGAAGTATAGCTTAAGGTCTTGTATAGTGATGCCACCTGCTACACTCTTCCTGCTAAGGATTGCTTTAGCTATTCTGGGTCTCTTATTTTTCCAGATGCATTTCATGATTGCCTTTTCTATTTCTATGAGGAATGCCATTTGGATTTTGATTGGAATTGCATTAAATCTGTATAGTGCTTTTGGTAGTATGGCCATTTTGATAATATTAATTCTACCTATCCAAGAGCAAGGTAGATCTTTCCATCTTCTAAGGTCTTCTTTGATTTCTTTCTTTAGGGTACTGTAGTTTACATTGTATAGCTCTTTCACCTCTTTTGTTAAGTTGATTCCCAAGTATTTTTTTTTCAGGCTATTGTAAATGGGGTAGTTTTCCTCATTTCCCTTTCAGAGGCTTTGTCACTGATATACAGAAATGCCTTTGGTTTATGGGTGTTGATTTTATGTTTTTTATTTATTTTTTTAAATATTTTTTTAGTTGTAGATGGACATGATAACTTTATTTTTATTTATTTATTTTTATGTGGTGCTGAGGATAGAACCCAGGGCCTCACACGTGAAAGGCAAGTGCTCTACCACTGAGCTACAACCCCAGCCCCGGGTGTTGATTTTACATCCTGCTACTTTGCTGAATTCATTTACGAGTTCTAGAAGTCAGCCAATCCCCAAAAAAACAATTGCCGAATGTTTTCTCTGATATAACGAGGCTGATTCATAGTGGGGTAGGGAGGAGGAGCATGGGAGGAATAGATGAACTATAGATAGAGCAGAGGGGTGGGAGGGGAAGGGAGGGGGCCAGGGGTTAGCAAGAATGTGGAATGTGATGGACATCATTATCCAAAGTACATGTATGAAGACACAAATTGGGTGTCAACCTACTTTATATACAGAGATATGAAAAATTGTGGTATATATGTGTATTAAGGATTGCAATGCATTCCACTGTCATTTTTTTAATCAATTAAAAGTTTAAAAAAACAATAAATAAATAAATAAGAGACAGGTTTTTTTTCTGTAATCCCAGCAATTCAGGACCCTAAGTCAGGGAGGGGATGGCAAATCCAAAGCCAACCTCAGTAACTTATCAATTCCCTGTCTCAAAATAAAATAAAAAGGGCTGGGGATATACCTCAGTAGTAAGGCACTCCTGGGTTCCATACCCTGTTCTGTAAAAATAAATAATATAAAATAAAAGGGACTTTTTATGGTATATGAATTATGTCTCAATAAGAAAAAAAACTATCTTAAATTTCAAAGACAGAGTTAGGCTTGTGAGCAAGAGGGTCCACATTAATTGGATAAGGTAACAGTTCAAGGAATTTCCATATCCTTAGCTTTACCACACACAAAATGAAACCTCTTCATTTTCCAAAGTAGCCACACTGGCTACAAAGCCAAAGTCTGTTTTGATCATGACTTCCAAATCACAAAGACCCATGAGCTATGTCAGCTACTGCCCCATCTCAAAGACCCGTGTCCTTTCATAGCTCTGCCCTATACATTGAAGATTCTTTTTCTTTAATGCTCTAAAATGTTAAAACTTCTATTGGATTTTTCAGCAGCTGAACACCTGCACTAGGCCCAAGACAGGCATACAGACAGCATGCCTTTGTACCATTCTGGGTTTAGGTTCCTAGAGCTCTTATCTCCTTTCTCCCTCTCATGTCTCAGTACCTTCTATAATCCTTAGCTCAGAGCCTCATCTGGAGTAAGTGTCAAGGAGCAATTAAGTGAGTTTGACACACTACAGCCTAAAGTTCTACAACAAGGAGTACCTATCAGCTTCTAGAATGAAACCACTGCTCCCATTGGTCCTAATGCTAAAAATGCCAACTTTAGTCTCTGACAAGACAATAACATAAGTGAAACCCACAAAACTCATGTCAAAACCAGCTTAGAAGAACAAGGAGTGCTTCCTCCCCAGACCAGTGACCCTTCCATAACCTTACCTTAGTGTTCTCATACTTCTCTGAGGAAGGATGATAAGGTGGAAAAGACCAGCTATATGGAGAATCATCACTATGATTGGAAGATATACCTTGAAGGAGGAGAAAAAGAAAGTTGTTAAATAAAATATAAAGGGTTTTTAGTGCCTCGTCTTTCAAAATTAAAATTTTGTAAAAACTGGGGAAGTAGAACTTTCTTTCTTGGACCACAGTCCCCTCTTCTGTAAAATTAAGGAACTGAGGTGAGATAAAGAGATATCCCCACCAACAAGAACTCTATAGGTCTCCATTTAAATAAGGAATGTATGACTTCCTGTCCAGAAGACCTGGAGATTTGTAGTAGGTTCTGTGGAAGTGATTCACAAGGAAAAGATCAGTCAGGCTGTTACAGCAGCACAGTTCCTTAAAACCCACATTGGAGCCTCTCCCCACCCTTTGTAGGAAGTAGCAGAGCAACCTCCCCACCATGAGGCAAATAGGAAAAGAGAGGCTCAGAGGTCTGTACCTTGCCCAGTGCCAATCAGACATCAAGTAAGTAAGCTAGAACTCAAACCCATTCCTTCAGACTCCAAATTCAAGTGCTCAGTTTTGAAGCACAAACCCACCCCTAAACTTAGAAGCTTACAGTCTACCAAACAAACACCAAAGGACAGACTGACAGTTGACAAAAGTACTGAAGTCTCTGAAAGGGATCCCCAAGACACAGAGGTGATGTGGGTCTGGTGAAGGTTGGCAAGGAGGGTCTTTAGAAGTCAGCAAGGCTTGTAAGGGATCTGAAGGGAAGTGACACCTGTGGTGGTTATCCAGGAGGAGCAGAAAGGACATCACAGCCAAGACCAAGGGAGAAAGGGCATCCCTAGCACAGGAGAACACTGGAGCTTCAACAAGGAGCACCAGAGGACACAGGACTGGAGGGAGGGGTGCTGGGTGAAGGGCCCAGTGACACAACAAGCATGGTGAAAAGAGCACACAGGAGGTTAACAGACCTGCGGTTGAATCCTGACACTGTACCTCAGCATCTATGCCTGCTTGGGAAAACTACTTGTGCAAGCCTCAATTTCCTCCTCAGGAAATGATAAAAATATACCTTGTTTGCTACTGAGAGGATCATGCTAGAGGCCAACATAGTAAATATCATGTACTTGGCACTTAGTGGTGGGTACTGCCATCCTTGAGCAAGCCGAATTCTAATAGAACAGGTGTTGAGAACAGACCCCATTGAAAAATATATTTAACCATGGACCACAAGCAAGCTTTTGGGATCTAAGTTGGGCATCACATTCAGAGCCCAAAGCCAATCATAAGGAAGGAGGCCAAGCAATTCCACTCAGGCCTTCTTTGGCCTTCCTTCCAGAAGTCCAATCTCCTGCCTCTGATGTATTTCCTTCTCTCTCCAAAAGTATAACTTCGCTCCCAGCTGCCCTTAGGCAAAGAGCATTGTGATGTGACTATCAAACTGCAGAAACTGACTGATATTGAACTTTTGACTGGAAAATATGATTCATGGCAGATTTACTTTCAAAATGGGCCTAATTTAGCCCAGCTTAATGCTATCCCCAATCTGGACTAGCCAACTAGTCTCTGGGAGAAGACTGCCAAGCCTGCTAATATAACTGGTACACAGAGAAAGCCACTGCAAATGTTCACATTGTCACCCTGCCCCATGAACCCTATGGAGCTCTTGCTTTCAATTTCCTTCCATACTTACAACCTACCTACATTGAGATACTCCTCTGGGAAGGTCAAGATAGCTATAACTTCAGCTTTGTAGATAAGGATTCCAAGGCTCAAAGAGGATAAACAATTTTCCAATGTAAGCCATAAAGCTAAGAAGTAGTAGTGCTGAGACTAGAACCCAGGTGCCCAAAATCCTGTTACTAGTGCCAATAAGCAGTTCAATCTGCTTCTAGAGATGGTCATCCCAATGAAAACCTAAAAAAAAGTGGTACAAAAAATAGTACAGTATGTTAGACTGCTATACTGTCATTAAAAATGACTTTTAGAAAACATTATGGGAAAATGTTTAAAATAACTCAGGATATAAAAATGTATATACAAGCTAAATCAGGAAAAAATAATATGCCCAAAATAAGAACATTAAAATGCATCCTCTCTTGAGATGCTGAAATCAAAAGTGATCTATATTCTTTAATTTACATTTTCCATTTTTGTCAATCATGAATTGTTTCTACAAATAAAAATAGTTTTGTTTAGGCCCTCATGATTTTAATTTTGGCATGAGAGCCTGTGGCATTAAAGCCTGTGTTGCCAGGCATGCCTGTGTATAATTCCAGCAACTCACAAGGCTGTGGCAGGAGAATCCCAAGTCAAAGGCCAGCTTCAGTAACTTAGTGAGGCCTAAGCAATTGAGTGAAACCATGTCTCAAAATAAAAACATAAATGGGCTGGTGATACAGCTCAGTGGTAAAGTGCTCCTGGGATCAATCCCCCAAACCAAAAGAGAATGAGAGAGAGAACACCAATGTTCCAAGTCAGGACTGGCCATCCCTGGCACTCTACAGGTTCTGGGTGGTACCTTATACTCCTACTCTGACATAGGTCACTGAGAGTGGGAAGTAGGACACAGCAAACTACAGTACCTTCACCAAACAAGCAAACACAGCAGTACTATTCACAAAGAAATTCCTGAGATGTGCATACCCCACCCATACCTTCACAGACAGGGACCTCACAGGGCAGAGGATCAGTCCAGAGCTGAACTCACACCCAGCACTGTCACCTCCCCACCCAGTGCCCTTCCCACCACCTGAGGAGCCAGAGGAGGCCCCAGAGCACCACCTCCAGCCTCTGAAAGGGAGCCAGACTCTTTCTACCCTCTTTTCACTTTGACTGAGAACTGAAGCCAAGCTGAGAAGTGGTTTTTCTAGAAAGGCAGCAGTGTAATCATCCAGGCAGAAAAGGTGTCTGCAGAGACAGCCTCATGCCCAGCAGGGGATTCCCACACTCATCACAGAACAAGAGAACTCAGACTTTGGGCATGGAGCAGTACCAGGGTGAAAGACTTTTCCAACCGACATGGTCAGGTAGCCATTCTCCTTGAAGTATTGGGGGATGGTGGAGAAGTTTCCTGCGTGCACCCTCCAGTAGGAGTTGAAGTCATACAGGCGTGTGGTGTCAGGCCTCCTCCCAGTGAGGAAGGACACGCGGCTCGGGGCGCACACTGCTTGCTGTTAGGGAGCAGAAGCAGAGGTCAACATCATCACAGTATAATGTGTCTGCCATCTCCAGGGTAACCAAGCAACCTCCCCAGGTCCTCAGCAACAGCCTGGTGGCTGAGTCATGCAGATCTCAAAGCCACACAGTGGGATTTGGGCCTCACCCAGGTGCCAGAGATTGCATCCTCCTGGCAAGACAAGGCAGAAGTCAGCCCCTCAAACAAGCAGATGCTTGTATCTTCCAATGAGACAGTGTCCCCAGTCACCCCAAGGGAGAAATACGCTTGGAGGCAACTCCAAAAAGAGGCTCATGGAGGAGGGCTACCATGGCTAGTTGGCTGGCCCTTGCCCATGGGTGGCATTCTATAGTACCAGGCCATACCCCTACCAGGAGAGAGCTGGCCAAGGCCCTGAGCATGTTAGGGCCAGGATACCCTCCACCCAATGAAGTGAGGCGGCCTTGAAGGCATAAGATTCCTTAAGTGGATAATCACATTTCTTGGACCACAATTTTCCAGAAAATGCTTCCCTCTTTCAGGCAGGTATCTGGCACACTCAGTACCACCAAACTGTAGCTGAAGGGACCCCAACCCTCAATGCACAAGGAGGCACACCTCCATACCTAGAGGTCCCCAGACTTACCTGGGCAAAGGCATTCTGGAAGAGGAGACTATGGGATGCCAGCTGGTCGATATTTGGGGACCTCACTAGCTTATCCCCATAACAGCCCAGGGATGGGCGCAGGTCATCCACAATGATGAGAAGGACATTCAAAGCACCTGCACAGGAGAGAGGGGCTTAGTGATGTCATGGGCAGGGATGCTGAAACTCCTCATCCTATGGTACTGAGAGACTCAAACCTGGCCCCTGCACCTTTATAATGCAGCTAGGATGGGGACAATCAAGGCTGTGTCTCAGCCTGGGTTGGAGTGGGGTGTAAAGAGGAAGCCTGGATTCTGGGTAGATGGGTTGGGCTTGGCCATAATTTGAAGCCTAGAATAGAGAGAGGGGTGGGGCACAGAGTTTAAGGGGAGAAAGGATGGATGAAGGGATAGAAGGTAAGAGAGAAAGAGAAAAATGAAGGAATGTGAAGAGGGAAGGATAGAGGAAGGGAAGGAAAAGGAAGAATGTAATGACAGAGTTGGAAGGAGAGAGGAAGGGAAAAGGATGGATTGATGGAGGGATGGAACAATGGAGGAAAAAACAGAAGGATGCATAGGGGGAGGGAGGTAGAACAGATGGATGGAGGCATGAACAGATGAAGGAAGGAAAGAAAGATGGAAGGTTAGAAGGAGTGAAAATGGGGGAGGGGGCTAAGAAATAGGAGAAAGATGGATGGTTAGAAGGAACTGTTAGGAGGGAGAGGGAGGCAAGGATGGATGTGAGCCGGGAAGGAGGGAAGAATGGAAGGGAGACGGGAGGGCGGGTGCGGAAGGCACCTGTGGCAGAGTCGGCCTGCACTGAGGCTTCGAGGACGGCGCCGACGGAGACCAGGACCAGGCCGAGCCCGAGCAGGCGCCAGCCGGGCGGAGACGGCGGCAACATTCTGCTTCCGCGTAGCAGCTCAGGGTAGCAATGACAGTCTGAGGCTGAAAGGCGGAACTGCTGCTGCTGCCGCTGCCGCTGCCGCCACAGGTGCCTTATTGGGAAGCTGCAAAGACAGCGCGACGCGGAGCGCCGCGGGCCCAGAGGCCCGGGCTACCGCCGCAGTGCGAGTGCGCCTGCGCGCCTCTTCCCTGCCCCACCCTCCGCGCAGCTGGGAAGCCCGGAGATCCCAGCGAGTGATCCCGTGATCCCAACCACAGTAGGCGGGGCCAAGGGCAGAGCCTGAGCCTCCCAGCTACCTGCTGGTATTGCCCATCCGCAGACCAGCAGACCTGTCAACACAGGCCTCAGTAGACAGCAGCTGCGAGAATCTTTGGAGGTGTTGTGAAGGTTTTGAGATTCAAATATTGTCCTCAACTAGCAATTTCCTGCCTCTCTCTGCCTTTGCTCTTGCTACGCACTTCCCCCATCTCTGTATGAATGTAACACTTTTCCTTACAGCCCTGCCCCAACACTGTTCTTCAATGAGGCCTTTTGAGAACCGCCTTCCTCCATCTGTAAGGATCCTCTTTCCTATTCTTTTGTTCAGTATTTAGTAAGCAACACAAATATGTACACCAGATACTGTTGGTAGTCCTGGAGTTCTAAGTCCTGCCATTGTAGAGCTTAAAACAACAAATAAATAAACATGCAGAATGTTGGTGGGCATACCTGGTTTGGAAAAAATAAAAGTGGGGCTAAAGGGTGCTTGTTGTTTTCTATGCAGTGGCCAGGCAGGGCCTCACTAGGAAAATGATATTTAAACAAAAGCTTACAGGAAAGGAGCAAGCCCCATTGTTGTCACAGGAAGGATAGTCCAAGCAGAGGGAGCAGCAATTGGGGGGAACATGCTTGCCAGTGTTAGATGGCATAGAAGCAGTAGTGGATGGCCTGGGAAAAGCAGCTGGACAGAGTGCAAAGGAGATTTGAGGAATGTGTGTCTTATGCCCTGTAGCAAAAATCATTCACTGTCCACATTGGCTGAAAATCAGGACAGACAGTGAGCCTCTCTCTACCACACTCAGAGCTTCTGGAAAAGTGGGCCCTCCATCTTTAACTTACCTCCAATCCTCCAGTAAGATAACTTAGCTCAATGCTAAGTAAACCAGACACTTCTCCTGAATACATGAATGCAGAAGCATTAGTTTTGTTATTGGGGGGCTCCTATAGCCCAGGCACCATGGTAAACTAAAAGCAATAGTTTTTCTCCTTATAGCAACACCATGAGCTAGATGCTAGTAACATTCCCATTTTTATGGATCTAGAAATTAAAACTCAGGCTAAATCACTTGATCAAGGACACACAGCCAGGAAATGGAGGACAAGGTGGCTCTCCATTGAGAGGCATATCTCCTCAGAAGGTAGCCAGGGCATGGCCATCACACATGCCTTGCTGCTATTGCTAATGCACCTGCTTTGCTGTTTCAGGCACAAGAACTGATAGCTTTTCACACTGCAGCCTTGCAGGTTTCTCCTTGGGAAGGGCCAGTTTATGTCTGCAGTCCTCAAGCCAAAGAATAAGAAGATCCTCAGGTTGGGTCAGCTCTAGCCAAGGGCCTAAACTGCCAGGCCTTAGACACTTCAGCTATACCTCATCATCCTAACACTTTTCCTTCACTGATGACAGTTCAGGGTCCCTCCTAAAACAACATCCCTAATGATTCAGGAAACACTGTGACAAAAAGAACTCCAATAGATCTTTAGAAAGTTTGCTTTCTTACCTTTTTTTTCTTTCTTCATCGTCTGTAATACCTTCTTACTAGCAATAGGCACTTGCTTTGAGCCTACAAGCTAAGGGTCTTATTGTATCATTCTTGCCCTTATTGAACAGTCATTTAAAAAACTAATAATTCTATAAACCCCAGGATGCTCAAAGAAGGGAATGAGGCAAAAAGGTAAACACAGTTCCTGCTTCGAAAAATACGTTCAGTTCTTTTTGTGGACTCATTTCTAGTTGGCAAATAAGTTTCCTGAATATCACCCATCCACATATGGGGTACATTAAAGATGTCTCTTTTCCCTCAGTCTTTTTTCCGATTATGGCCATGGCTCAAATGAGGACAGATCTATAACTAAGACTGAACTTGCAGGGCAATGAGAGGGTTTGAGGGTTAAAATGCAAAAATAGATGGTGATAATCGTGCAGTAGAAATGAAAACCAAAGCTGAAGAGAGTCACATAGTTCAGTTTAAGAAACACAAAATGTCCCAGCTTGGCTATCGACACCCTAGCCTTGAATATTTCCCACTATTGAAAGGGCAACGCTGATATGTTTACAAAGTACTTAAATATTCATTCCAACAGACTGGGATATGAAACATCCCCACCCAAATATCAGCAGTATTCACACATTAACTTCCTTTCATTGAATATTTTTAAGTGTGAAATTCACAAAAACTAAAATATTTAGCTGAAAATATCATAAACTCAACCTCTATTTTCATATTTAATGCCTCAAGATTGGCACTCCTTCATACCTCAGTTCTCACATGAGATTTACTAGGAATATTCAAAGCAAACAATCTCAATCTTTCTATAAAAATGTATATAAATAATATCAAACAAATTTCTAAAATATTAAATAATTAATGATCAGTTCCTTTTCAGTACAAATCAATGTGCCAAAATATGCATGCACTTACTACCTCTTGTGAGTTGAGTTTATCAGAAAGCTGACTCTGAAAGAGGTAAGCATGCAGGATGTTGTTATGGAATGCCTTTGGAAAGAACACCTGTGGAAGGAAAGGAAGGGAAGCAAGATTAGCAGAGGAATCAGTCAAACTGTAATATGGGCCATGGCTACCCCATGGGACAATCTAATGATTGAATAGCCCTTCAGAGTTGTCCTGAGTTAGGCTGAGACAGCCAAACATTTATAAACCACCTTGATAAGTCATTGCATATGAATACTCCAGAAAAGGTCTGATCTTAGGCAAGGTGGCTTTCTGGAACTGAGGCAAGTCCTGAAGAGAGGGAAAGCAGAAGGCTGTCTTCCCAGGATTCCCAGCAACTGAGGCAAAAAAGTCTACATTGAAAGAGGGGTCAAGGTGGCAAAGCTCTATGTTCAACACTTCTCTTCCTCCATTTAAAATAATCATGAAGAAGCTAGGGACAGTGGCACACACCTGTAATCTCAGCAACTTGGGAGGCTGAAGCAGAAGGGTCACAAGGCCAGCCTCAGCAACTTAGCATAACGTTGTCTCAAAATAAAAAATAAAAAAGGCGAGGTATGTAGCTCAGTGGAAAAGCACCCCTGGATTCAATCCCCAGTACCAAGAAAATAAAAAATAAAAATAAAAAGGAACAAAAATAACATAAATTGACAGAAAGAAAGGGAGAAGGTGCTCAAAATTATGAATTATTGGGGAAATGCAAATCAAAAACACAATGATAACACCAAAAATCAAATAACTCAGGGCTGGGGATATAGCTCAGTCAGTAGAGTGCTTGCCTCACATACATAAGGCCTTGGGTTCAATCCCCAATACCACAAAAAAAATCAAATAACTCAATCAATAAATAGGCAAATGAACTAAACACATTTCTCAAAAGGAGAAATTCAAATGACCAACAATTATAAGTAAAATGTTCAACATCTTCAGCAAACAGGGAAATGCAAATGATCAAGAATTATAAGAAAAAAATGTTCAACATCTTCAGCAAACAGGGGAATGCAAGTCAAACCAACCCTAAGATTTCATCTCAGTTCAATTATAATGGCAAGTATAAGTATATTATAAATATAATATAATAAATACTGGTGAGGATGTGGTAAAAAAGGAATACTTTTTTCCTGTTGGTGGTATTATAAATTAATACAACCACTATGGAAATCTATGTGGAGCTTCCTCAAAAGACTAGAAAAAGAAAGATTATATGACCCAGCTTAATCCCTCCTAGGTATTTATCTGGAAGAATTAAAATCCGCATACTACAGTGATATATGCATATCCCATAACAGCACAATTCACAATAGCCAAATAATGGTACCAGCCTAAGTGTCCATCAACAAATTGATGGATAAAGAAAATGTGGTTTGTATACACAATGAGTTTTATTCATCCATTAAAATAATGCAAGTATGTCATTTGTAGGAAAATGGATAGAACTGGAGAACATTATACTAAGTGAAATAAGCCAGATCAGAAAGAAAATGGTCAAGTGTTTTCTCTCATATATGGAAACTAGAAAGAAAAAAGTTTTTTTTAAAGTGGGGGGTCACATGAAAATAGAAGGAAGACCAGTGGAGTAGAGGAGGGGGTGAGGAAAAACAAAGAGAGAAAGGAAAGGGGGAAGTAGTGGGGAAAGTTGATCAAATAATGTTATGTGCATGTACAAATATGCCAAATCCAACTATTATGAAAAATTAGAATGCACAAAAAATGTTTTTAAAAAGCACAATGAGCTAGGTGTGTTGGCACATGCCTATAATCCCAGCAACTTGTGAGGTTGAGGCAGGAGGATTAAAAGTTCAAGGCCAGTCTGAGCAACTTAGCAAGACCCAGTCTCAAAACAAAATTTTTAAAAAGAGCAGGGGATGTAGCTCAGTGCTTACCTAGTATGTGTGAGGCCATAGGTCCAATCCCAGTACCAAAAAAGAAAGAGAGAAAGAGAGGGGGGAGGGGGAGGGAGGAAGGAAGGAAGGAAGGAAAGAAAGGAAGAAAGAACCCACATGAGATAGTATTTTACAGCCACTAAGAAAGCTAAAAAAAAGGTTGAACATGACAAGTATTGATGAGGATATGGAGAAATTGGAAGCTTTGCATTTAAATCATTTAAAATTATTCAGCTGCTGTAAAAAAGTTTTGAAGTCCATCAAAAAGTTAAACATAGAATTACCATACCCATCAGCTCTACTCTTAGTTATATATACCCAAAAGAATTTAAAACTCTCAAAAAATATACATCTATTTTCATAGCAGCACTATTCATAAGAGCCAAAAGGCAGAAAAATCCATAGGTCCATCAATGGATGAACAATCTCATCAGAACATACAATGGAATATTATTCATTCATAAAAATGAATTAAGTTTGAATA